TTTTTTCAGTGACAAAGCAATGCTTCTTACGGGGTGTCATGAGGAAGGCTTAGCTAATTTATTGCAGTCTAACATCAAAGATGTAGGTAAACAATTGTTCATAAAGTCGACAACATGGAAAAAGAATGCTGATCGTGCAGTTTGAATAGAAATGACATAGTAACAAACTGAATATATTTTTAAAAGAGTCAAGCATCTGTTTTCTCATAATTGAACCTTTTTTATATGCACACCCCTTTAAGCATATAAGAAGGTAATCTAAATTCAGAAAGCATCATAAAGCCATTCAGTTATGCCAATGATGTTACAACCCAAAATCATAAGATATTAGCTAGGAGTATCCCACAATACTCACAAACTACTCTAAGATTGCATCAATTCACAGCTTTAACCTTCAAATTTCAAAATACAGACCCAGAAAAACTAAAAACAAAAAGAAAGAAGAAAATGAATTAAAAAAAAAAAATGATGTGAAACAGCTCCTTAATTTGAAATAAATTCACCAAATTTGAATCAATCATTAGTGTGCCAATAAACTACTAGTTGAAGACCCACATCAAACAATTGGTGGGCACTATAGAAAACACATATTTGTTTAACAAGTACTAATTGAAAACCCAGTTACACGTCATTGAAAGCAACAAGAACTTGGAATGTTTCAAATATAAAAACCTAAAACCAAGAGAGTAAAGTGAAATATAAAGGTATGTAAGGGTACCTGCCAAACGCGGCGGAGCCGCTTCTTGGCATTGGCTTTGCGAGTAGAGGTGAGCTTAATTCTCTTCCAAACAAGGCCTCCTGAGTCGTGCTTCTTCACTATCTCCATTACTCTTGTCCCCCAGAATGCTCCCCACGTCGCCATTTCTTCTTCTTCCGCCAGTTTCTGTAAATTGGGGTTTTTTCGACGAATAGTCTCAATCGTTAGATTACTTGTCGGGTTGCTGGATTGGGCTATCTGCGTCTGTTTTGAGTAACTAGGTACAAAGCCTAAAGCATATATTAAGAAATAAATAAAATTAACATAAATAGCACTGAAGAAGATAAGTAAGACGACAATAGCAATTGTCGAGTTTATCCTCAACCAAATTGTTGAATATGGTTTTATTGACGTGTCTCACTCAACAATCTTGTCAATTAACATAGAATTTATGTTAAAAGAATTTGTTTT